TATATAAAAACTATATAAACCTGTCATGCTTTTGTGCAATGTGTAGGTGTTTCCTTTGCATTAAGGGTGATATTGTTTGTTTTCTGTGAAAAGGTACTGTAATTTCGATGAGTTACAAGGATTAGAAAGCGGTTTGTGTTGCACGTGTTTGACAGAAAACTACAAAACAATTTCTCAACTGTTATCCCTTCTTGGCAGAATAAACACATCCCCTTTCTCCACCAAAAAAAAAAAAAAATCCAGGGGGAATTGGGGGACCTGGCTATTTTTTAAAGCCATTGGTAGACATACGGACTGCCTCCAAGGTGCGGGGGAAGTAGGGGTGACATTTCTGTAATGCACCGTAGAATTCCCTGCGCTCGCATAGTGCTGCTGGCCACTGGAGTTTCCAGGCGCCTGCTGCCACGCCTGCCGTGGTGCCACGGCACGTATAGCGGGAGCGCTGAATTAGAAACTCATTTGTATGTAAACCACATACAGTGAAACTCAGGAGTTTGTGTAGCTGTAAACCAGCGAATTTACTACAGAGCAGGGAAATACGCAGTACTGGTTCTTCAGCAGTTCTGCAGTAAATTTTATTGTAAGACAATTATGACTGTTACGACCTTCTGCCCCCTCCTTTTCTCTCTAATGAGTTTTCCTGGATTAGCAAAGCGTCGTTAACTCAAGTGAGACTTTGGGAAATATGTAAATGAAAATGAGGTGTTTTGAAAATAGTATTTTATTGATCTAAGCAACAACACTTTTCTCTAGGTTTGTGCTGGAGCCCCTCCTGCCAAAAAAGATGCATTCTAGGTCTCAAGATAAATTGGACAAGGATGACCTAGATAAAGACAAGAAAGAAAAGAAGAAGGAGAAAAGGAACAGCAAGCATCAGGAGATATTTGATAAAGAATTTAAATCTACTGATATTTCTCTGCAGCAGTCTGAAGCAGTGATCCTTTCAGAAACGGTAACTTTATTAGCAAGTAATGCTTTATCTAATTCTGTGCAGTGTTCTTTCTCTTTTTAAATAAAAAGGTTGAATTTTACAATTTATTTTACTTTTAGACCAAAAGTAACTCTAAGGGAATACGCTACGATATTAATATATGTGATAAAGAATCAAAAATACAGATTTTATTTACAGTGTAAAAAATCATGGTATCTCGTATTAAAATCTTACCAAAAGCTATATTTGACTATTTGATAAAAGGAACAGGTGGTATATCCTAAGTAAAATAAATGCTACCATTTTAGGATTCTTTTGAATTTATGTTTCCCAATAGATCATGACGGTTTTTCTCATACTTCAGCTGACTACTGCAAGACACTTTTTGGTGGAAATGTTACAAGGTCATTTCGTGCATGGCAGTTACATATTCTTGAAAGGCTATTTTCAGCAGAAAATTGTAAGCAGTTCCACTGGTGGCTGTGTGTAAGAATATTAACTACAGAGCATATCTCTCTTAAGCCCTCTCTTCTTGGCATCTATTTAATTCACTGAAACTGTCCTAAAGGCTTAGGTAACTTGAGAAGTTTTAGCTCTGAAATTGAAAGCAAGGCCATTTGAATCTGGAGCAGGGAGTGCATGAACTAACTGTAACCTGCGAATCTCTGCCTGGACACCTGTTTTGAGGTCAATAGTTTAAAACTTGCCCTCCAGAAATAAGTGTAATGTTCTTTTAAAGATTTGGACAAGTACTTGTAGAGCCAACTTTTAACTCAGCAGAGTCTTTCATTGGTGACTGTCATTTACATTGGACTTTCGAAATGATTTCTCTCTGACCTGTGATGACTAGAGCCTTTAAGTCTTTCCCTTTGGTATTTGTAGTGGAATATTACTTAGATGTTAACCATAGTTCCTCTGTTTTCTGGGTTTTCTCCTTCTTTTCCATCCAGAGATGAGCTAATCTCTCAGATGTGTCTTCTGACATCTTGGAAGGTCAGCGTTGTTTTGTCTGATGTGGCCTTAGGGTCAGTATTAGCTCAGAAAAAAATCAGATAAAATCAGAAAATAAATCAGAAAAAATCAGATAAACCTTTTGTGCATCTCAGGCTTTTCCCCCAAAACCCTTTGAAGCCAGTGAGTTTTTCCATTGACTTCAGTAAATTTTGGATCAGCCCTGGTTTGTTTAAATGGAGATTCCTCCTGGCCAAGCCAGTCAGGTGAGCATTGTTAGAGAGTTTTCAGACAGCAAATACATTTTGCATAGATTTTTGTACATCTCATCTTTTTGACACAATGCATTCAACTCCGCACTTTGCAGCAGTTGTATTTTGACTAAGCCTGAACATTGCAACGGCAAGGCTTGCACTCGCATCTCCCAGATCCCCAAACGGACTAGCAGAGCTTGTGGAAGAAGAGCATTAGCCACAAGAAAAGAAAATTGTATTTCAGGGCAGCTCAGTCAGTTGGACTTGCACAAATCCATGAAATCAGAAGGGAGGCATCCAAGGATGCTGGAGAGCTGCTTGATGTCACTGCAAGGTCACTGGCATCTCTGAGAGGCCTTGGACATTGGAGAAGATTGCTTATGACTGGAAAAATGCAAATGCTGGCTGGAAAGGAGGACATGACAAGCCTTCAAGGCATATTCCCATTTGTCATCTGAGGAACAAAAATGAGCAAAGCCCAACATGGTTTGACTCAAGTTTTCCCCTCTTCCCAGTCAAGAACTTTCAGTAGATGACTGGTACGACTAATTTTCCCCTGGTTATAGAGAGGGAGGGAAATTAAATGTCAGAATTAGTTACTTACAGTTACTTTCAGCTTTTTGATATCCACAGATCAATAATACGAAAAGGAGTTTACTGGTGAGAGAAAAACTCTTCCTTTTCAGTATCCGAAAACTACTTGATGAGCTCCAAAATGGCCAAGTCAATTTTATGGCTTGGTGTTAGTGTGGTTCATTTCATCTTGTAGGTGAAATAGAGGAAACACTTTTGAGATTAGTTTACAAGAGTGGTTGTACAATTCCCACTGCTGTCTTCAGGAATTTTGTACAGATAATATCAAGAATCTTAAAGATAAGATTTGTCTTGTCTTGAAAGTTTTGCACTCTGGAGACATATGTTCCCTATTAATGATAGAAAAGGGAAATTGTTATCTTTTGTGGGTAAGAACTCAGCTTTTCCATTGTTCTACTTTTGTGGGCTGCACTGTGTGCAAGTTCCCTTTTTAAGTTGAAATTGCTCCCAAAGCACTGTTACTGCCGTGTTTTGTGAAGAAAAAAGCATTTTGATTTCTCTTGCACTAGAAACTTGGAAGCAGAAAGTTTGGTAGCTTAAAAAAAGATAATGATGAAATGGAGGGGGGAAAAACTAAGGATTGTTTTTTTCCAAAACAATTGGAATCCAGATTTTACTAGAAATGGAAATGAAAATAAAGATTTAAAGAGCTTTTAAAGTGAGATTTTAGTAATAAACTACTGTTAGTTACTAGATTTTGTATTATAATTACTGGATTCCTTCTGTAGAGAATTTTAGAACTCACTTGTACCATCGCTAATTCAACTACAAGATTTCAGTTATTTGGTGAATTTTCTAATTGATTCTTCGTTCTGACTTCTAAAGTACTTGGGGGTTTTACAGCAGAAGGCATGCTTTTCTTTAGTATGATGACAATTTATAAGTATGTTCAAGAAAACGGATGAAAACTGAGTAACAGCCACCTTGGATTTGTCAAAACCAGTTCAGCCAAGCCCTTCTTCCTTCTTTCTGCGGTAGAGGAGGAGGCTCTGTGGGTAGGAATGATGCAGCAGACCCCAATGTGCCGACTTCAGTATGCCTTTGGGCCCATCATCTCACACTATGTTCTCATGCGCAAGACTGGGCGATGAAGCCCGGTCTAAGGTGATGCTGAAGGATACACAGCAACCTGGAAACACTACTGTCAATATTGTCACTGGTAAGATGGAGTAAATGAGAACCCATGATGGGTTTGGATGGGAGGATATGTCAAAATAATCTATGCGCAGAAGCACAACGCGTGGTCAGCCTCTTAATCGCTAGCTCTGTCTCATGTCATTAATAGGAGGGGTCGGTGTGTGTCACTACCATTTCATCCAGGTGTCATCGCAGTTTACAACCAGTCCGTGCCAGTTGTAGCTGGCAAATAACAGGCTTGTGCTTGACAGTTCAAAAGGCCAGTTTCAGATATTCACCCCCCACACACACGTGCTCACACGCAATTACCTGTTGCCTGACAACACTCGTATTCTAAATTATTCTTCGTCCACCACAAATAGGTAGTTATCAGTGGTTTGCTTTCAGGAGGGAAGGATGCATCAATAACCTTATATATGAATCTGTTCTGGAGCGTGTGTTACTCACTACTAATTGGTTTGTGCAACGTAATTGCAAGCGCGATGCCAAATTTACAGAGAATATCAAGCGAGCGGCACAGCAGGCATGTCAGACAGCGGTCATTCCCATCTCTGCGGAGCTTCTGCTACTCTTTTCGAAGATGATGTTGTCTAATGAAATGAGTGTTTCCATCACTGCGATGGATTTTCTTATATAGGAAATTCGGGTTTTTCCAATCAAATGAATCTTTATGGAAGAACATGGGCGGAGTATAAAACTGCAGAATTATTTCATGAAGCTTTTGCATTTTCTTTAAAAAGGAGCATTCAGAGGCTGTTTTGTCTGGCTGTATGGCTTAAGTACTTTTTCCCAAATTTCACTGTACTCGTAATGAATTTATTGACTGATCAAAACCCAAGCCCTAATTACAGAGATCTTGTAGTACTATGATCTTATCAGAAGATAAATTAAGCACATTGATATGTGAAGATGATCAGTGATGTCTTTATAGTTTTCTAGAGATTTGTATCTTCTTTTAAGTATCACATAAACTTCTTTAACATAAATTCTCATTGTTAGTTCTTTGATTCCATGAGCTGATAGCAAACCTAACACTGAAGCCAGGTAGTTAACAAACCACTTGAAAGCTTGTGTAAGAAATCAGAATAACAGGCTCTACATTTTATTGATTTAGTGGCATCTAACATCGCTTACTATTGATCCTGCTTTCATTAGACCAAAAAAAATTAGCAACGGGTTCATTATGGATTAGTGGTCTCCAAAGAGCTCATATTCCCTAGCAGAAATGTGATTTATGTGAAGCTTTAAGAAAAGGACCAAGCTTGTCAATCACAGACGTTAAAGTTTATTTGAGATAAGTAGCTACAGACCACGTTAACTTGGGAACTTGATTCTTGTTGTTGGTTTTTCTCTTGATTCTGGCATTGCAGCTTTCCTAATCAATTAATGTATTTCCTTAGTTGCTTTTTTATAATTATATGCCTCTGAGAAAGAGATTACTGTGCTTATCCATTTTAGTAAAAATATGCTTTAAAAGATCTTGAAAGCAGAAACCTTTGGAGTCTTTCGGACTTGAATTTTAGTATCAGGCAAATTTCTGAAAGGTTACCCTGAGGTCTTGATGAACTTCCAAAAAAAAGTTGCATACTTTATGGTCATTCATTTCTTACAGAAGGGTCTCAGAGACCCAGCCTTTTATGCAAACCCTTTTAGGGTTTGTTTTCTGAAAAGAAAAGGAAGCACTCATACCTCATTTTAGATTTCTTCTTCACAACATACTTTTTAAAAAAACATTGTGAAATGATGAAAGTCTTCAAAAAAGCATGAATTGCTGCTGTTATTTCCTGTTTTGTCCTAATGCAGCACCTTGGATGTTTTTTTCCATCTTAACTTCAGGTTGCTGCTCCACTTTCTGTGATCTCCTGGAAATAAATTCCTTTCTTCACTGCGATTACTAGAAATATGGGGGCCGGTGGATGGGTAACAAACAGTAGAGCTCAGAATTAAACTCCGTAAAAGGAATCACCTTAACAAAAGCATTAATTGCCCGTCAGATTACAGGTATCATTTCAGGGTTTCTGATGGAAAACTTAAATGGACTATGAAGCAGCCAGAGCAAAACAAGAAGGATATTTCAGGGAACTAAATATAAGCACAAACATGCACCATCAAGAAAGTGTTTCTGGATAGATGATGTCTTCCTCAGCAGAGTTTGACCATGCAAACAATTAAAGAGATAAATTTTTACAGGGAAGTAGAGCAGCGTGAGAAGAAAGAAAATATTTTGAATGCTGTATAATCTTGTGTAAGGATATAGACTTTCTTAGCTGTTATTAAGCAAGTGTTTGGGGAATTGGCTCATTGCTTCAAAAAAATATGCCAGGCTACGGGAAGGTGTGTGCATTAAGTGTCATTGTGATTCCTGGGGAGAAGGGAAGAACATTTGGAGCTGTGAAATACTGCATTAAATCAGAAGTATTGCATGTTATCATTGCCCTATTACTGTTTAGGAGGTAGTGGGAAAAATGCAGCAGTCTCAAGGTCTGCTGCTCAGTAACAACATGTATTCCTTTACTGTCTCACCTTGATGAGCCGTGGTGGTACAGGCCAATGTCTGTTTGTACTCGTGCCGTGCTGCAGTGAAACAACTAGGATTGTTGTTGGTTTTGTCCTTGTGCAGATCAGCCCGCTAAGACCACAGAGACCAAAAAGCCAAGTCATAAACGTCATTTCAAGTGAAAGACGTTTCTCCGTCTCTCCGTCACCTGCCAGCTCCCAAGCGACACCACCCCCGATAACTCCACGCACAAAACTTTCTTTCAGCATACAGTCCAGTAAGTCTTTAATTTTAATTAAATTGTATTCTCCTAGAATATTTTATGCAAAATAACTTCTGGTGGGGAGGTGTGTTTCCTGAGCATTGCATTACACCTTGGTTTGAGTTCTTTGAGTTAGTCTTTATGCTGTCACCATGGGCTTGCTTGCAGGAGCAAGAACTTGCCTCTTAACATCATGCTCCTTGCATTTGCTAGCAAAAATTATTCCAACACTTTACAAAAGCAACCAAATTTGTTGCACTGAAAAAGGTTATTTTCCTATTCAAGTAATCATTAACAATTACTTAGGTATAGAGTAACTGTCAAAATTAGTGTTGTACTTGTTTCTCTATTGGATTTAGGGTATTTTGGAGCATAAAGGCTGAAAAAATAATCTTTTAATGTAATTGTACCTTAAAAGAACTTTTGTTTACTATGTAGTCTGTACAAGCCAAAGCAGGGACAGGAGGAAGTCAGTCTTTTTGATGGTTTGTTTTTTTTTTTTGACGTTGACATCTATCACTCAGTTTTTCTGGAAAATATCATATGTTTGTTTCAGTCTTCTGGAAACCCTATTGCAAAACTGGGTTTAATACACCACTTATTTCTTTTACAGTGCTGTTTTCCAAAAACTGTCATTCAGAGCTTTCAGTTGCTAGCATGTGACAAAAAAAACCCCCAAACACCACCATCTTTTTAATACATGCACCCAAATGCTAGCACAATAGCCGAGTTAAATGTTACTAAAGAAGAGAAACAGATGATCAGTTTTAAGAAAAAAATCTTGTTTGATCAAGGTCACTTTGTTTTATTTACTTTTTTTGATACTCAAAACCTTTTCCCTTAAATAGTGTTTTAGGAAGTTCTTGTTGCCAGTTGCAGATACATGTCCTGTGAGCAGGAATGTGTTTATTCTACAGATCTACAGCAACAGAATTGTCTTCTAAAAGGCATCTAGCTTTGTTTTAATGCTTTGAAATTGTTGGTTGCAAACACGTGGAAGAGGGATAAGCAAGTGCAAATCAATGCAGCGTTTCCTTTGCATAGTCAGACACCCAAAACAAGTATTTTGATAACTGTGAACTCTCTCCTTTCTTTATAGCTTGATAGCCAAAACCTACCAGTATGCTAAAAACTGGAAATACAGAGAATTAGAGTATATATACTCTGCAAAAAATATTCTTTGAATTGCATTATTTCTTCCTGTATACATTTTATTTAAACTAATTTGATCTCTTTTTTTTCGGAAGTATCTGAAATGATCACGTTTTTCTGAGACTGTTTACGTCTATATGCTGGAGATTTATGGGTCTTATGGAAAATAGGTTCAGCTTATTGCAAAATCCGTGGGACTTGTCCATAATCGTATGAGGAATTGTAGTGGTAATTTTTTTTAGGCATTCCAAGGATAAAGAAGTTACTTCAGTGCACAAATTGGCTAAAAGCAGTTAATGGGTTGCTAAGCAATACTGCTTGCTTGTTAGCTGGCAGTTTAGGAGAATGGCGTATCAAATTTGACCATTAGGTTAGGATGAAAAAAAAGTCATCTAACCGATTTCTTGCCAGCTCAAAGATATTCTTAGTGGCACATGTCCAGTAAGGAATAAATATTCAGAGCACACTAGTCTGATGAAACACCTTGAATAATGATAGCAAACCAGAAATTATGAGTAGTTATTTGTATAATGACTGAGTCGGTGAGGTATAGTTCAGCTGAATTGAGCAGGAGAAAATTAATAGATCTGTAGCAAATAGATCTTCTTGAAACAACACTGAAAATTACTGAGGTTTGCGTTCGATACCTGTTTCTGCAGTAGGGTAGATGACTCCTGGATTTCATTAAACTGTGCGAGAGTTCAGCTAATCAGGGCAAATAATTTTTTTCATTATTGAATATTATTGTTCTACTAAATAGTTTGCCAGACTGAATGCAAATATGTTGTTAATGTATATTATGAATTGTTCATGTGAATGGAAATATTCTGTCCATGCTTACAGGGATTTATTGCTGTCTTGCAAAAGGATGAGGCTGTGAAGGTGCCATGTACAGGCTGTAAGAACACAGCGGGGGCTGCAGAAAATCCAAGCTGTAACAGGAGCTGGAGAATGTAAGGAAAGGGACAGAAGCAGAGCAGGACACAGTTGCATGGACAGTTGGTGACCATCCAGGTTGTTCAGAGTATTGCAGACCTTAAAGTAGAGTTGCCTCCAGGCAACATTTCCTCTGCAGCTCTAGTGAGAACTTTGCTCACCTGCCTTTCATGGGCCTTCCAAATGTCAACCTTAAAGAAACAAAGGGTTTGTGTAACTCCTAACAAAATTTGTCTTCCCATCTTCTTGGGAGCACCTATTAGTGTACATGTAATGGCTTAGATGAAGTTAGTGGGTACTGTAATATCATATAAGATACAAAGATGAAGTGTTCAGAGCAGTTAAATTCAGCTACTAAGAGGTTGTAAGACTAAATTTCTAATGTTTATCTATGAACGGGGAAGTGATGCTGCAAATGAACTTCGCTGTTAGTTACAAATGTTTTCCACTTACATGTTTTAATGACATGAGCTTAGCAGAAGTAGATTCTGATGGAGATATTTAAAGGAAAGTATTATGAACATTTGGGGAATGGAGAAATCCTGTATGTGTAGAAAAGGCAGGATGAAAAACAGGAGCAATGGAAAAAGCAATTTGAAATTCAGGTCCTGGAGGACAAACACTTTTCAGTCTGATGTAGAAGAAGCCACTGAAAGTCTGAAGTCCCAGGATGGAAAATATTATTCTTCCTGGCGTAGTTGAAAGTTCAAGTGAAAGGATGAAGAGTAAAATTACAGTTTTCAGTGACAAATCGATACAGCCACCTTACAGTTATATCGTGTTAGTGAGAGGCCATTTTGGAGAACAATAAAAGGACACTTTTTGTCAGATATTGATAGGAACCTTGCAAATATCTGCATAAACAAGTCCTTCAGTTGTTTCACAATTCACCCCAGTAAAATAACAACAACCTTCTTTAATTTCCTAAATGAAAAGACTTCCCTAATTTATCAAAACTAAATTAAGTTTCTTATCTTGTAAAGCTCACAGTGGGTTTTGCCTGTGTTAAAATGACTGAATTACCCTGAAATACACCGTGGGTGGATTTCTGCACAAAAACCTATGTATCACTCAGGCCTCAATAAACTTTATTGTCCCTCAGGCTATTCGCCTTTACAGCACGTACCTGCTAGGATTTATCTGCTAAGAAAAAGGAACTTTCTACCCAGAAAACAGTAATAATAAATGTTTTGTACTTTATCTTGCGTGATTTTATTTACTCAACAACTAATGACTGCTCATTTATTATAGTTACCTGGAGTTTGAAAGTTTTTGAGAGAGGTGTAGTTAATGACAGGCTTTCATTTGTGCATTTTATTAACAAGAAGCTTTTATTTTACTGGGGAGAAGTAAATAAAGCTTAGCTTGATTATATTTTCTTAGTGCACTTACCAAAACTTCTATTGTGTATTAATGTACAAGGTGAAAATGCAGAGCTTACAGCTGAGAAAATTATATTTGCTAAGCAATGAATATTTTGGCGTGAAATCTGAAGGAAAAATTATTTTCTGTTAAAAAGAGGGGATCGTTCAAGTATTTTGAGTGTATCCTAAAAATTAGCCCAATGCAACTCCACAGTACATGCTTCCTGTCGGTGTGGGGGTGGGTTCATTTATTCTACTTCCCTTTAAAATCCCTCATTAGATGAGCTGCAGATAATTATAGAGGCAGTGAAGAGCAGACAAAGATATCACATGTGCAGCATTATCGCAGTATCAATGCCGTAAGAATTGGCACGGTCTGGATCTTTGGATTCGATTCAGTTGTTCAAAGAGTTAACTCAGTGTTGGTTTTTTGCAGATCTGGAGCTGAATGGTATGTCCAGCTCCGACATCCCCGACGTTCCTCCTCCTCTGCCCCTGAAAGGAAGCATGGCTGATTATGGGAACCTCATGGAAAGTCAAGACTTGATCAGCCCGACGACCTCCCCCCCTGCTCATCAAAGGGTGAGTACCAGAGATAATGACCATTTTCTGCAGTTTTCTTTGCTTTTCTCCTTTGCACCATCCAGAGACTTCCGCAGTTGCAAACAAGCATCTGGAATATGAGGGAACGGCATCGCTGCGGGCACCGACCTGAAGGGAGGTTGGATTCATTCTGGTGGAGAAGACTAAGCAAAATGTTAGCTGTGTTGGTAAGGGAGCTTAAACCGGCAGGATACAGTCTCAGCAGCAAATTAGGTTTTTGGTTTTTTTTTTTTCCAGTCCTGCTCTCAGGGAAGGAAAGAAAACATGTACCTGGCATCTTTCCTTTCTGGAGCTCCGTTCTGTCGGCATTCAATCGCCGCTTGTTTCCTAGAGCCAAACACACATGCCCCCTTTGAGGGAAGGAGATCGGAAAGACTCTTCATCATCAACAGGGTTTTCAGCTTTCTGAAGAAAACACACTTCTTCAACTTTGTTTCCTGTATCCTAGAAGCTTTTAAAAATAATTTTGTCCTTTTGTTTAAAACAGCACTTTTAAGAAGGACTATTTATTTCCTTTTTGGAGAAAAAAAAATGTTTAAAGAGGTTTTCTTTTCTTTGACTTTGAAATGTATAACTTTGGCCAAGCTGTTATGTTGTGGAAAGATTCTCAGCAGTAATGATTCTTTCTTGTTTGCAGAGGTACCTTCCAGAATTTCTCTGAGGTTCATCATTCAAATGAAATTCTGTTGAGTAATTTGCTTTTCAGTAAACTTCATGGTTAGAGAAAGCATTTCTAATCTCAGCAGAGAAAGAGTCAGGCAGGAATTTAGTTTTAACTCTGGGAATAGTCTTGTTTAACACAGGCTATCACAGTGCACAACAGTACACAATTCTGGCTTTTTCCATGGTTGAAATTGTAACTGTGTTGTTGCTTGAATTTAGTATTTTCAGGCTAAATGGGGAAAAAAACCCCAGATACAGAAGTAGATTGAGGAATGTGAGTAGTGTTATTCAAAACACAATGCTTTATTCATTATAAGCATATATTGAAAAATTCTCTATTCCCATCATCTCTTCCATAGTTCTTCCCCATGGCTGGATGGTTTTAGTAAATATTTTCACTAAATTTTGCAAACCCTTTTCCTCTAATTTCCATGGAAGTATACTAAGCTCTTACCCATTTCCTTGACTTGCCTCTGAGGGGCCAGCTCTCGCTTGACCTGAATGCAGATGTCTAAGTGGAAAATTACAGAATGTACAGGAGGGCTGCCAGGAGTTTTGTCTAAGGAATCCGTCTTCATGAAGAAACCTGAGAAATTCAAATTAGGTTTCAAATTTCTTGAACTCCTTCCTGTATGAGCTCCAGAGTAGTAAATTCGTTTTGTATGATATACTGTAAGTTTTAGGTCATGGTAGTAGCTCAGGATTGTTAATATGAGTTCAATTTTTAGCTAAAAAGCATTAAACAATGAGGTGATAAGACATGTGGTGAGGAATAAAAATCCCAATAGCCGGGTTCTTTTTCTGTTCCTTGCGAGGCTGTTTGAAGGGGTTTCCACTCAGTGGACAAATGCTCGCTATTTACTGTACAGCTTGCAAATGCCACCATGCTGTGATGGTTGGAGCCCAGACCTGAAGACAACTGAGGTTCCAGCCCCAGTCTCGTTGCTGTTGAAGATGTGACCTTGCAGAGCTCCTGTAGCTGTCATGAGCAGGGTTTCCGCATCATTAAATGAAAGTTCATAAAAATAGTAACAATATGCTCCCTTGGTTTTTTGCAAAGTTTTATTCAGGTCTTAATATTTTTTCTCTTTACAGTCTTCACTGCTCAGAGTCTTTTTTTTTTTTTTTTAAATGTTTTGTAATTGGAGAAATGGGCCCCATTGTTCAACAGTGAGTGTTGAAGGAGCTCAGGATTTAAGCTTACCTTAGAAATGCAATCAAATATAATCGGAATTTTCTTCAGCACTGTATTTTTATAAACTTTCCAAGACAAGGGGATATAGTTTCAAAGTCTGAAAAACAGATCTAAAGCAGATCTGTCACAAAGCCACATGTATTAGTCTTAGAATTAATTTTAGGAAAGGCTTCTAGTCTTAAAACAATCACTGTGCGCATTTATTGCATCAGGCTTATGGGAAGGAGGCTCTTAACATAAAGAAAATGAGTAGTGCTGGGTGTCAAGGATCAGATGGGTAAATTCTTATTACTGCTGTGATTAAATCCCACTCCACAGTTTTTAATGCCTTGTGTTTCATGGGTCAAATAGCTGCATACTTCATAACTTTATAATTCTCTGCCTAGTAAACTGATCATCTTTTAAATTACACATGCTTTGTATCAGTGAAGAAAAATCAGTAAAAAATACTATAGATGAGGTTATCTTAGTAGCTGTTAAACTGGAAATATCTCCTCATATGAGAAATTATTACATGGTTCACTCTGGTTATCTTGCAGTCAGTTATGAAAACCAAAAACATGTGCTGTAGGGAACGGAAAAGCACGCAGTGATAAGTGCATCAAGGAATACTTCAAAGTGCAGGCAGTAGTGTCGTTTAGCGTCTGAGACGGTAACCTTAGATTATTTGGAGTCCACTATTAACTTGGTCTACCTTAAGTCTTTTATCCAAGTGATCATCTAATTATAATTTTCTGATTGTCCTCTTACCCCTTGTTAACTGCGATAGCCTTATATATATTTTCTTGCACTGTATGATTTTTTTCTGCTAAAAATGTTCTTAATAATATATGGGAACATAAAATAGAAGTCTACGACTCCTGCAAGGATTATTATTACATCAAGGGATTCCTTTAGGCACTTCTCATTCTTTATGGGTTCATCCATACCCTTGCATACAAATCAACTGCCTGCTTAGTATTCACAGCGAGAAGGGAAACTCAAAGAAAATAGACAAAGGAGCACTTACATTTATAATATCGGCTATAACACTTACTAAGCATCAGATAATGGTTTGGATGAGAAGATCATGATCAGGCCGGCGTAGATGGAGAACTTGGCAAGGAGGGATAGCAAAGGCTGAAGCGGCGTGTAATGCGAGGACCGCAACGGTCTCGCGCGGCTGACGGCGACGGTGCTTCTTTTGACCCTCTGGGATCCTGTTGCACAAGGAGCTCTCAGGCTGGTTATTTGGATGTAATGGAAGCGTTTACACAGAAGGAAAAATCCAGGGGATTTTTCGTGTGTTGCGAATCAACAACGTGTTGTGTTGATTGAATCAACAATTCGTGTTGCGAATCAGCACTGCAGTGCTGATCATTATCTCTTAGGGTAGCCACAGTAAGCAAAAAATGACCTTAAAGGCTTCGGCAAATGGACTGTGCTCATGTGGACAGAGAAGAAGAGTTGAGGCTAGAAACCCAGCTGAAACTACGGAGGCAGCGGGTCATTAGGGAGCACTACTTCAGGGTTTGCAGTTTTTCCTTCTCCGACGTTATTTCTCAGGAGAAATCCCCTTCCTTCCCAAAGTGCCTCACGCAGCCCACGGGCTCCGCTCCCCCAGAGCTGGGGCTGGCGGGGAAGCCCCCGAGCGTCGGGGTGCCACCTCCCAGGACCCCCGCCGCCGGGTCGCTGGCTCAAGGCTTGCCTCCGGCTCGCTTAGCACAGCAGCGGGAGGACAGTCATTAGCAGCATTATCCCGTGGAGATGTTGGAAACACTGAAATTGGAAAAAGTGCATTAGTAATCCGTTCTATGAAATTAGAAAGTTGACTTTGTGGGCTGCGTTTGCTCACAAATGGAAATAAATGTCTCATCTTCTGTCTGATACTCTGGATTTTTAAAAAACAGACTTCTGACAGACTCTCTTTCCATGATGCATAGAAGTATATAATGTGCCCCTCCCCCCCAAAAAAATTTGTTTTTTATTGACCATCTGATCATTAGTTTTGCCTGCTGGAGATGGGAAGCATTGCAAGCCCTTCCTCCAGCGCAAAGTCTCCGCCACCTCCTGCCTCGGCTGGGCTGGGGTTTGGGTTGGTTAAGCTCTCGCCAAGCAAAGAGTTTCTAAAAAGCTTACAGTCACTTTTTAATAAGTCTCAAAATCAATGGACTGCCACTGCTTATTACAGGATTTTGAGTGAAAAATATGTTCTGCTGCTCTCTGCCTGGAGATATAGAGCCCGTCACGTGTCCCTGAGCAGCACCCTTGATTTTGTTTCGGGAAGGACCGTGCCGCTGCCCTCAGCGCCGTGTGGGATCGAGCTGCGGGTTTTGCTCTGGCCAATTTGTAATGCATTCGGTTGTCACTCTTGCACGGCCCGGGCCTTCAGTAAGAAACACAGTTTCGATCTGGAGTCTAAACCGAATCCTGAGGGTATCGCTCATAACTCGTGAGGTCTGTTTATGTACGGACCAGAGCAGAAAAACACAGTGCTTTGGAAAATCGAGTTAGCCAGCACGGTCTGAAATACTAATAGCCTCCTCATGCGGAAATGTGGTTCAACAGAGGGAAAATCGCATTAGCTGTGCTTTAACACAGCTGGCACGCAGCAGGAGCAGAGTCCTCCCTGCGTGAGGGGTGCAGAGCTCTGCTAGGTCCAGCTCTCCCCCTCGTCCACTGCCGTCACCCCTGTGGGAGCACCCCTCCAGGGAACGCGTGGGAGAGCTCCTTCGGGAGAGCTCCTTTGGGAGCGCTCCTTCGGGAGAGCGTGCCTCCACTGCTGTCACCCCTGCGGGAGCACCCCTCCAGGGAACGCGTGGGAGAGCTCCTTTGGGAGCGCTCCTTCGGGAGAGCGTGCCCAGGGTCCTGCCAGACAACCCCGTGGGGAAAATCAGAGTTGCTGATCCAAAGCAATGCCGTGTTGCCCGTTTTGAAGGATCTTTCACGTTGCCCAAGGAGGGGATGCTCAGCACACGGCGGGTGGGAGCACACAGAGGGCACCTCTGTGGAAGCGCTCTTAAAATTGCTTTCTGTTATCAGAGCACACTCCAGCACGGGCAGCTAATGGCTGTGATACACAGTCAGGCGAAACCCTAATATTAAAGTACGACAACGGAGTCTAAACAGTGATTTTACATTGGTTACCTGCGGTATTTTCCACATAACTTTGCTCCCTCGGTCAAACAGCCAATTAGCTTAAACTGTCTATAATTTGGTTCGAATTAGTGGAGTTGGGTTGATTCTCTCCGCTGGCGCATTATCGCTCTTTCAGAATGGGAGCGTTACTCCTCCAAGACCTCACATGATGTGTTATTTGTCATTGCGGATATTAAATAAGCAAGTTGCTGCTTGTCAGGCTCCATGCTAAAAACAACGGTGCAAGCGAGAAGGAGCAATTCAGAGCTCAGTGTTTGGAAACGTTTGCACAGTCCCGTGTAGCTGATAACCTATATACGTCTCATTTCTGCTGCTTCTGCCCTGATTAGATCTGTTAATCCTTCAAACTGAAGTGGTTTTGATTGGATCTCCATAGCTTGTCATGTTTATGACCATTTAGTTTCAAAGAAAAATAGTTACACAGGAAGAAATCTCTTACAGTGTCGCAAGGACTGTTTTTGAGAATCAAATTTTGTTTGATTTTTTGTTGTTGGTTTTTTAATAGTATTTTCCAATTAAAAAAAATTCTCGTATCCTATTTTGCTTCCTCACAGAGTAAAAACAAACAAAAAAAATTGTTTTCATCTCCTTTAATTGATTTTTATTGCATCCTGAACATGTAGAGAGTAGTGTATTTTATATCTCTAAGAGAATGGAGACACATGTTTTTTAAACCTGATTCTTTTCTCTATCAGGAAAAAACAAACAAATGGGAGCAATTTCGTGTTTGAAGCAGAAGGAACAGATTGCTTCTGTGTTGCAGATGTGCCTTTTACATAAGGTTTCTGCTTCCCCTGAGGTACCTGTGAGTCAAGGATTCTGCCCAAAAATAGGTTTGAATGTGAACCAGCAGTCTCTATCGTTTTGTCAGAAAGTAAAAACATGCTTCAAGATTCAGCGGGTTCACGATTAACCACGGAAATATAAACATGAACTCTGCAAAGCCGTTCTTAATTAAATGTAAAATCAAGGGAAACTGTTTAACTGTTTTGTATTTCCAAGTTTCTAAGGGGAAGCGTGGCACAAATGAACTTCATAAGCCCAATAATGATTTTCCGAGTATGATATTAAAGGCAGAGAGAAAGCGTGCTTGAATTTCTTCCCGTGCTGGAATAAAAGGGAGTGCGTGTCAGCCCTGGGAGCGATGGCTAGATTTGGAGTTGCACCAATTCCGTATTGGCACGTTTTGTCGTGCTGATTTCTCAATGATGTTGCCCGGACGAGCATTACGTGTCCTCCTTAACATATTCATTGGTAGCTTATTATATAAGTGAACATGTACTAAATTTATCCGACTTTCTAATGGAAATTGTAAATTCAATTATAATAATTATCTACCTATCTCAGTTATTTCTTTCTGCCTAATTTGCTTGCAGAATCTAAGCTCTGGTAGGTTTTGTGCTTGTTATTTATAGCATATATATTTGGCTTATTCTCATTGTATTTGCATTGTATCTGTTCTTCAGAAGCAGGTTTTCAGGGATAATGCAATTGTTCTCTGATCAATACAAAGGGCTCATTTGTTTGAGAAATGCCTTTGATCTAATTGAATTGAGAATTATTGCCAATATACTGTTATTTAAATTCAAAATGGATTTTCACAAAAGATGCTATCAGCAAAGTCAGTTTTTTCTAGTCATAAATACGATGTTCAAGATATTATCTGAGAGCAAAGCACTGAGGAAATTTTTCTGGTTTGTAATGCATTTTAGAGGGGCACCTGGTTTGTTTAGTTAGGAAATTAATGTCATCTCCGTGAGGAGTTCGTGCATGTTGTACGCTGATGTTCTGCAGACCACCAGCATTTCCCAAAGTTTGCCCGGAAGCCCCTGCCTGGGTACATGTTTCTAACTAAGCAGTTTGTCAAAGATTTCGAGATCTGCAGATCACAATTGAACGTGTGAGGCTAAATAGCATTGACAGTCCTGCTCTTAGTAGGGATTCACGAGCTAATTTAACGTACTGGGTTAAGAAAAGTATTAGGTCAGGTAGAGGAAGTATTTAATGGTTCTGACTGTAACACTTAGAGATGGATCAACAGTTGCATTTAAAAAGAAAAAACAAAACCCTTCAGTTTTGCATTTAGTAAAATACAATTCATGGTTTATCTGCTTTACATATTAGTCTGTTGACTTGATTTTCTGACTCAGAGATCATTGTGCACCGTGTGAGGAATAACCAGTGCACAGCTTTGAGCCTGCTCTGGAAAATGAATGCTGCTCACTCTTCTTGACATGTGTGTTTCAAGCAGCAGTGCCCTTTCCAGACTCAAACCTTTTAATAACCTGGTTGTTTCTTCAAAAGAGCTGGTGTAAACTTTAACCGGAGTGCGAACGTGAAAGTCTTCATTGCCACATGCGTTCGGCCCTGTCCTCATGGGTGAGCAGAAGCCTTGCCCTGGTAGACGGGGCCATGCAGCCTCCCAGGCATGGAGGGCTCCGGCGCCTTGCTCTTTGTCCAGAGTTTCTTATCCAGTAGCAGATTAAAACCAATTGATTTCCGAGTTGGTGGTAAAGCTTCTGTAGCCAAGGAGGAAGGTGAGAGCACAGACATCGCTGCGTTGGTGGTGCTGCTGGGGAAATGGAGAGCGGATGGCCTTCGCCCCTCCGTACGCTGCGTCTGCTTGGTTTGGACAGCAGCAAAACAGAGACACGAGCTCAGGGCACGGCTTTCCTGATGGTACTCTGTGATCCCTGTTCGTTTGCCATGGGGGAGAGCCAGGAGAAATGAGGAAAGCTGTAAAACAGATTGGAAAGTATTTCTTTCCGGGTAGGATACGGGAAAAATATTCCAGTGAAAATCCAGCCTTCTTGGCTCTGCCAGTCTGCAGTCTTACCTTTCCATTTAGTCTGTGATTAGTAAAAGTACCTGGTAAAAGCTCTGGATTTATAAATTCATGCTGTCTTAAAAGCTGACTTTGAAGAGGGCATTCAGTTACCTTAAAGATCCTTTTTTCCTTCTACTCTGGCACACCTCTGAAAACTCCCAGTCGGTAGGTTGCAGGAGCATTAGGAGGCTCTCGGGGCTTCTTCTGCCTTGCAGCAGAGGAAAAACTGAAATGCCCTGGCATCACCCTGAACTGCTCTTCTTTTTGGATAACAGCTTTGGATATCTTTTAAAAGGAAAAGTCTTGTTTCTTACATACTTTCACGTGGTTTACCAGTTTCTTACTGTGACTGAGAAATCATCAGTTATTTTGTCCAAGACATTTAGAAAGTTGGACTACGAGTATTGAGGTTGCAAGTGCAGTACATGCAATGTAACACTGAGGCATTTCAGATATTTGAACTGTTCTCGTAGCAGGGATTAAGGAAATTTGGCAGTTGGTGGGCGCCGTAGGGTTTTAAGTGCTAGTGCGTGGAGTCCGCAGCACGGGGTGGGTAAGGCGGGACAGGTGCACTGAGACACAAGAAGGGGAAATGAAAAAACATCATTATGCTTGGAGAAAAACAAAAGGCTGTGGCTGGCTGAGCCGGGGAAGAATCTTAGGAAAAAAACAAACCCAAAGCAGCGTTTATGAGGTGTGACACTGCAGTACAGCCTGAGCGCAGTGACGGGAAAACTGTAATGGCTGCATAGCCAAAATGCTGTAGGAAACCCGACTGCGAAGTGGATGAGCGACTTGCAGCGTTCTCCAGCTCTTTCTGAAACAGATTTTATCATATATATATGATTGAACATTATGGGGGGGAAAAAAAAGTCTTAATTTCCATAATGACTTTTTTAATTTGTCCAATTAGCCAGTGAATCTAACCGAGGGTGCTCTTGTTCTGTTGTACAGTATATGAAGCGATTTAAAATATGTATATTTGAACAGTCTGGATTTCTGTTTTGAATATTTTAATTATAACTGAATGTGTAATAGTAAATTGCAAGTTACTTATCTGTTTAAATGGTTTCCTTTTTTTTTTAATTGTGTTCTAAATATGCAAAATACAAATATAATGGAAAAGCAATGAAGCTGTTGCTTCAACTTAGCTTTTAAGCTCTGTGGTGCATAGGGGGCTGAGGACAATCGATACAGACCAAGAAATCAATATCCTATCATGATATGAAGTGGGGAATTATAAACTTCTCCAGTGCTTTCAAAAGATTTTTCCTGAAATACTGAGCTACTTAATCACAAACCCTTGAGAGATTTTTTTTTTTCATTGTCAAAAGTAGAAGTTATATTTTAAGCTAATGGCATTCAGTATGCAAATTCTGCGGAGAAGCTTTCAGGAGTCAGATGGCTACAGACTTATGCGCCATCTCTCGCAGTTATATATGAACCAGTAAATGTTTCAAAAATCCATTCATTGCTAACATGGTCTCTTCAAAATTGGTTTCTTCCAGCACCTGCCGCCTCCGCTCCCCAGCAAGACTCCCCCGCCTCCACCTCCAAAGACAACTCGGAAGCAAACGTCTGTTGACTCCGGGATTGTCCAGTGAAGAAGGAAGCGTTTTTTCCAAAGATAAAGCTGTAACAATTCATTTCCCTAAGTATTTTATGGTATATAATGTTTACCTCATTCAGGCATGCAGTATCTAACATTTAGTGCAATGACTTTAACTCTGTAAGAAATCAAATTCTAGCCGTGCATCGGAAACAACACTACATCACCCCTCTTTCCGGGGTTGTTCCCTCCTGTAACTTGAAAGAAATCTGGATTTCTACTTGAGACCGGGAGGTATTCATGAACTGACAGTACCCTCTTCCTAAACCTTCTCCCTTCTTCTTCTGAGTAACTTCAGGCACATAGGTAGCTATGGACTTTAAAATGAGCTGAGTATTTCGTACCTAATCTCAGTGTACATAGGAATCGATGATGACGTTCACGTTGAATTCAGTGCACAGTGGAGTAGGCGTCACGGTAAGGAGAAGCTGCCGTAGGATTTCCCCAAATAATGGTTCTGCCCAGGGAAAAAAATCAGTGTCGCGAACGCAGATTTGTGAATCCTGCTGACTATGTTAATTTGTCGTGAATGAGTGACTTTACACAGTTTGATTTAGTAGCAGTTTAGAATTTACTTGTGGCAAATCGCAGGATTTGATTGTGATATTTTAACAGCACTCAATCATCAGTCGACTAACAAAGTGATTAGACAAAATTAATCAAAACGGCGACTTAGTTACAGATTCGAAGATGGCAAGGTTCACTCTA